GGAGACGGAGTTTCACCATATTGGCTGGGCTGGTCTCGAACTCCTGACCTCAGGTGATCTGCCTGCCTTGGCCTTCCAAAGTTCTGGGATAACAGGTGTGAGCCACCATGCCGAGCCAAATCCATTTCTTAGGACATCCATTTCTTAGGACATTTCTGGAGATGTGCACCACTAAAACGAGAGTAAATCAAGGGAGAAGAAAACATGAAATCCTGGAAACAAGAAAGCCACTATAGTAAAAAGGACAGAGAATAACATTCTGGGGGAAATGAAGGGAGATCAAAGAATCCCAAGTGGAGAATCTGAGAAGGAAGATGGAGGGTTCAAGGGGATAGACCAGGAAGCTGAATTAGGCAAGACACCTGATGTGTTTGAAATTATTGAGAGGAGGATTACATGAATGGCAGAAAGTCTCAGGACGAATTAGTGATGAGTACCTAGGAAATGAAGCAAATGAATATATAACACATTTAATATAGGGAAAGTAAAAACTTTGCTCAAAATCAGAATTGTAAGTAGCAGTAGTTAATAGTTTAGCATATTCATAATAACATAAAAATGATTTATCCTATCAAAATTTATGTTATAACTCTATTAGGTTGATTGGAGGAAAGGAGACTGTGTATGTTTGAGTGTGTGTGCACATATGTGTGTGTACGTGAGTATGTGAGTCAATATGCATGTGAGTGTGTGCAGGTTTGTGTCTGTCTGACCAGGAGGTTGGATGATGTGAAAGGAAGCCAAAGTCACATCTTTTGCTATGGAAAGTGAAGATGAAAAATCAAGAAACAGTTAAATGTTATTTAGAAATAAAGTTAAATACTAAATATGTAATCAACTAAATAGCTAAAATTTGAAAATAATTCACTTTGAGAAGTAGGTATGTGTTTTATATATTTGGGGGAATGGTAGATAGAAGATAGCTCTTCTTTTAAAAATAAATCTTGTTGAATTATTTGAATTTTCCAACTTGCTTGTATCACTTGGAAAATGATATGAATTAAATAATACAAAGAACTCACACTTTGGAAAAGATGTGTGGCTTGTGGGGTTTACTTTCCAGATGAAACACATCATGCTAACTTTCCAAACCATCCTCGATGATCCTAACCCTATTACCTTTTATATAACTCCAACAAACTATTGTTTAGTCTAAATTCACTAATAAGTACAACTCAGTATCTCATCTACCCCACCCACGAAAAGTATCTCCGTAGTGCAAAGAGTGGATTAAGAAAGCATTTTCACATATACCATCTCACTTTACTTTTTGTATAAACCTAGTGAAGTAGGCCAGGACATTATCACCATTTTACAAATGTGCAAACTGAAGTTCAGAAAGATTAGCAACAGGGCCAGTGTTCAGATCCCATTATTGATGTTTTGCCTTATGTTCATTCAGCTGTATCCTCTGTCATGTCCAGTTCTTTTCTCCCATGGTACATGATACACATAAAGAGCTATTGTAGCCAATGAACCATACACAGTTCCACTGTGTTTTGGAGGCCCAATATATAATTTATCTGGTATTTCACCTGGACTAAGATCTGAAGCTAATCTGGCTTTAGGCCCATATAACAATAAACACACATGAACTGTTAATATTTTGGCTGTTTCTCTCATAATTATATAAAATATTCTTCTTTCTTTCTTTCTTTTTTTTTTTTACTTAATAAATATCCTACATTTCTAAAGGGACAGTAGTATCTAAGGATATGACCACTCACAACATTTTCATCAACTTTTATCCAGAGCCTTCTTTTTCAAAGAATCCATACAAATTTTAATTCATACTACTAATACATAAAAATTCATATTCGATAGAATACTGAAATTCAGTCCACCATAGAGTGACTTATTGCTATTGAATAAGAAACTGATGATCGACAAGAAATCTATTTAAATTATAAAGTTATCCACCATAAAATACAGGATGGTCTGATTATTCCCTTGATACATGATGACATAGTTTGAAGGTAGGTATTTCTTTAATGTCTGGAAACCTTCCAATGCCAAAGACAGAACAAAATGTCTTCATATATAGTCTCAAATTCTAGGTACGACGTATGTCTTTATTTTGTAAGTGATACTTTATTGAAAATGATGAAATAGAAAAATAAAATGATGCTGTGTTGCTTTGTAATCTAGTCTCTATACAAATTCATTTGTTGTAGCAGCAACCTAATGAAGTAACAGCTACAGCTATTAAACATGTAATGTTAATTCAAACTATTCAATAAGATTGATGAATGACACAAAGGCATCACAGATTAAAGCACATCTTCCAATTGCAGATAACTGTTTCTGGGGAAATATTTTGTACTAGAAAAGACACTGGGTCAAAATGTACACTATTCATGACACAAACCTATGTTTCTTGTGGAACCAGTTTGTAACACTGATGCTTTGCTGTCCTTTAGAAGTTGAGGGTTGTCAACATAAACCTTGGAAACAAATGTGTATCTTGCTGCAGTATGGCAAGAAAAGGTTAGCAAGCTTTGTAATGTTTAAATTTCATTGAGATGTATATCTAAGAGTATTGTGTTTTTAATTGTTTCTTTATTATGCAAGATCACACCTTATGCTTCATCAATTAAATTCCTCTTGTATCATGAATTCTTTTTTTAACCCACTCAACTGAAAAATAAAACAATTACTAATGCTTAAAGTTAATAAAAAACAAAATAACCTATGGTTTTCATTTACACGGATATCTTTACCATTTTAGAGAAAATGGTCCTAATGTCCTCTCATTTTTCCCTCTAGAACATTATTTTTAGAGGATGCCAGTGACAGAAGTGGAGAATATAACCTTCATTTTCTTCCCCATGGAGAGAAGTCTCATAAAATATATATATTTTGGCCGGGCGGAGTCCAAGGCGGGCGGATCACCTGAGGTCAGGAGATCGAGACCATCCTGGCTAACATGGTGAAACCCCGTCTCTACTAAAAAAAATACAAAAAACTAGCCGGGCAATGTGGCGGGCGCCTGTAGTCCCAGCTACTCGGGAGGCTGAGGCAGGAGAATGGCGTGAACCCGGGAGGCGGAGCTTGCAGTGAGCTGAGATCCGGCCATTGCACTCCAGCCTGGGCGACAGAGCGAGACTCCGTCTCAAAAAAATAAAAATAAAAATAAAATAAAATAAAATATATATATTTTAATTCTCTAAAAGTATTAGCTTAGAATTCCAAAACTCAAAATACATATTTACCAACGACTAACTGAAATATATCTTCTGAGTCATCAGCTCTGCAGTGTCTTTTGTGAAATTTTTGTATTTAACAAATTCTTCATGTTCCTCATGATTATAGAATTAAAAAGTACAAATAAAATTTCTAAACCGCAGAAAAAATAGTTCCAGCCTATGCCAGATATATCTGAATGTGCATCTGTGACCCTCTGAGTGAGCGGAGAGAGTGTGGGATTCTTCCTACCATTATTCCTGATTGGACCATGAATAAGATTGTTGATTGAAAGCCTAGCCCTGTGATCTTATTCTTGGGTGTCCTGGCTTCAAAATATGAACTGGAACAACTGCAGTCTTGCAGACACTTTCTAACAGGCAGTGATGAGCTCCTGGCCAGAGTCCTGCACACCAAGAAGACTTGAAGGAAGCTGACTGGGAACTGATGGAGAAGGAAGCAAAAAGAAGTACATTGTAGGAAGCACAGAATTCATAAAAAGGAGAGAGATGGAAGAGGGAGCATTCATAGTTGCTCTTCCAAAGGTCTTCAAATTCAGCCTGTTCTGGATTCTTACGGTGATCTTACATAGTTTTATAATAATGTCCTCCCATTTTTTTCTTAAACACTTTGAGTTCATTTTCTACTTCTTATAAGTAAAAGAAGCTTGACTAAGACATATGATAAGGTGGTGGTTACTATGTATCCCAGCAGGGCAAGGTGTTAGTGGTGTGACCCTAGGCAGATCATTTAATCTCTCTTAGCCTCAGTTTACTCATAAGTACAATGAAAAAAAAAAGTCTGCCATTCATGCAATTCTATTGTAAAGATTTTTAAATTGTATGTAAATCTATCAGGTTTCTAACGCAGAATAAAGGCACAACAAATGATGTCTATTTTATCACTATGCAATCAGGTTGTATATCTTTCATTTCGCCTACATCAACTTTTAAAATTTTTACATGTAATCAAATGTAAGGTAGTAATGTGAAGCTTTCTTATCAAAGGTAATAAGCTATAGTTTCCTTATGTCACTTTTTATAGCCTGCAAGTTATTACAAAAATGAAACATACAAGACATGAAAAATACATTTGTTTTTCCTGTGCTGATTTTTCAAAGAAAATATAAATTGGTGACTAAAATGGGTCCATTCACGCCTTGCATTTTGTTATATGTTCACTTCAGTCCAGACACAAGTTTATTTGGTAGTATCTGGCTATTATTTAGTATCATAAAATTATCTTCAAAAGGACTGACCATTTCTACTATTTTAGAGGATTAAAACAAGTGCTCAGAGCATATATTAACTACCGGGATACAGTACTAGATCCATCCCTAAACTACACCATAAGCCAAATACTCATTCATTCATTGAAGTGTCAGCAACACTTTCTTATAAACACAATAGCTAAATACTTTCTGCATACTTCCTTAGACAAGAATATAGCCATTTCACATAAAGCTTCCATTTTTCTGTGTGAATACAGAAAATTCATCCAGAATTTGCAAAACAGACATTTAACAGTACAATTAATTCTTTATTTTTCACTTCACAATGGGAAAACTGCTGAGGATCCTTAATTAAAACAATGAGAAGACACGTACAATCCAGAAAACTCTTTCAAGAATAGTAACCCTTAAATGCCTTCCTGTAGGAGGGATTTAGAGAAAAGAAAGTAGATAAATAAACTTTCAGTAAACAAATTTCCAGACAGTCTTTTCTAAACTTAATTCATACACACATAAAGTCAACAGATCTTTTTTCTTTAAAAAATTCAATGTCATCACAAGAAATATTAAACTTTATTCATCTTACCTGGTGATTTTTTGGTTATTAGACCTTGTGCAGGTTCCTTGTTCTGTGCTAGAACTTCAATCATTTCTGTGCTTATACCTTATTATAGTTTACAATGATGATGACCTGAAGCAAAATTAATTCCATCTTGTTCAATGCTTGCTTATTTAAATGTAAATGAAATGTTCAATGCTAACTTGTAAAGCTTTGTGAATTTAGAAATACTATAAAATTTACCTTTTCTCCCTCAGTAGCTTTTTGTTTAATCAGACCTATCAGTTCAAGTTATCTGCTGTTTACAAAAAGAGGAACAAATGCAGTCTAAAAACAAGTCAGAACCTAAAAAACAAACAAACAAAAAAAAACAACGTAATTACGTGCAACCCCATTTCACATCACACTCCTGAGACCATCAAGCCACAGGAATTTTGTTTTATTGGTTTTAGGATTTTTGTGGAATCATATTTTTTTAAATAACACATATATTATGAGAAAAATCTTTCCTATCAAACAAAATTAAGCAAAGTTATTTCAACACTAGTTATTATCCATGATTTATAAGAATTTTAATTTATTAATACATTATACATGTTTGTTTTATATTTAAAACATGTAAAAGTTCTAAAAATCACACCTGCTCTCCCAGTAGCAATGATAAATGTAAATAAATTGCCATTGTTTAATGCTATGATAGCAGCTTTAAGGGAGAGTAGAATAAATGCATCATTTTTTATCCCCTCAACCCTTTAGGTAACTGTAGTACTTACCCAATTCTCTCCAATGTAAATTAAAACAAAACTCCAGATTTGCTATTGTGTAACCATATGCAACTTCAAAACAGCTATAAGAAACCAAAGCAATGGAAACCTAAGACATTAACAAAGATTTCCCCGTACTTGCTCTTGTTTTATTCAGAAATAAATAGTTGAACAATCTATTTCACTCCACATGAGTGAAGTGTAAAAGCTACACACATTGTTTTTGTTAGTTTGTAGTTCTAAGCAAGAGAGGTTTCATGAAATTCAAAATATACACATAGGTATTACAAAAGCAAGAATACAAGAAGTCAGAAATATAAAGCAGTTTGGTGTATAAAATCACTTTATTAAGTTGATAAATTAAACTATGAGTTCATAGTGTTTGTCTTACAAAGAAACCAAGAAACATTTTAAAGGAATCCCCAAGAAAAGTTTTCCACATTTTCATAACATCAAACACTCTTTGCTTGGCTGGAAAGGACAATTCAAATTTTAGCAGATCCATTAAATATACAATTATGTCATTAGTATGTCATATAATCTATATCTATATATTTTTAAATACACTTTGATAACATATACGATGACTTTTTCTTATAAGTTTTCAGTAAATACCATTCAAGTCTGCATTTAAGCAGAGGGCATGGGGGAATTTAGATAACTGACTTGGAAGACAGTGAAAGAAAATAACATATGAATATGCCCCAAAACTTAATGTGGGTGGGGACTATGGCCATGATATAATTACTTAAGGGGGAAATGAAATGGAAATAAGAATTTAAGAGAAGTGGGAAACTATAAATACTTTCTACTTTAAGAGTTATTCCTCAAATTTCTTACCAAAATTGTTATTAAGAAAATTCTTGTCTTGATGTCTGCTTACATGTGTGTTCAACATTTAACCACTTAACCATTATGGCTTTTAAGCAACAAAGTTTAGTAGTCCCTTTGATTTGCTTCAGTATAATGAACACCCTTACTTGGGTTTTACATTTTGTTTAGATAAAAACGAGGCATGTTAGGATTGGGGATCTTATCTTAACTTTCCAAATCCCTTAATACTCCAAAGCTGCAATGAAAACAGCACTGAGAAAGGGCAATCTGTAAGCCTTTTCTTTCAATCTGAGCTTGAAAGGGGCCTTTTCCACAGGACAGTTTTAGGAACAAGCCATAAAAATAAACCCTGCAATATATTATTTAATCTTAAGTGACCATCCCCACTGAGCAAAATGAGTAGTAAAAATAAACATTTGCTCAGTCCCCAGAGTTATGGGTTGAGGTGACATACTCTGTGTCTTAAGGAAGGCCTGGATTATTTTGGATGGTTCTAAGAAAAAGTTGTTAAGTCTATGAAACATGAATCTTTGCTATCCATTGAAGGTTGTGTTGTTCTGTCCTCAGTTGTATAAATAAAACTCCATCAGTGACTTCTTTTCCTCTTTGAGTCAATGAGAAGCAGCTCATAATGGTTGCTTAACCTCACACAGGAAAAAGAATTAAATGCAAGTAGCATGAAGTCTTTTTTATCTGGGAGAAAAGCAGTTATCTTTGGTTTCTCTTACTTTTTCACCAACCTAGCTATTTTAGGTGATTTTCAGGATAGGCCATGAAGAAACATGGTCAGACTGTTTTAAAATTCAACCAAATTTTTTTTTTCATCTTGGGTAAAACGAGGTGAAAACTTTATGGGATTAGAAACAATCTCTGTGTTTTGGAAATAGTGACCACATCCTGACTGTAGATTTATTTCGTGGAGACTTCCTTTTACTCTCCCAGCCCTGTTTAATTATGACCAGGAACAGTTAATCAGTTTGTTTACAAACATAGAAAGGAGGATGTGAGGGCCAATTACAGAAACTAACAATAAAAACAACATTTTTCCTCCCTGATCAAAGAGACCAAGAGATAAATCCACACTGAGATGAGCAGAGGTCATTTTCCCTAGGCATTCCCAGCATTTGCAATAAATGGCAATCTCCACTAGGCACTTAGGGGCTTTGCTGAATGTGACAGACCTAATCAGATACTATACAGGCCAGGCACACATGAACAATTAACACTTTCCACAGGTCTCTAACCTGCAACCCTTCATTCTGTCTTGATTAACACCCAGTACTCTGACCCACCGACCTTGGTAAACAATTCAAATCCAAGTAGGATACTTCTAAAGGATGGAAAGGGGTTCAGAAAGTTGCTGCTCGCACTAAAGTTTGCCAAAACCTGAGGGATATACTGGACTCTAAAATAACTATATAGTATAAACTAATTATGCATCAGTATGCTACATGTTAAGAATTCCATCTCCTGCCAGATATGTTACATTAGCATACTTACAATAGAATACTAGATTAATAGTGTTTGAGATCTTCACTGAGTTCACATTCAGCTCTATTATTACTTCAAACAGCTCCTCCAAAAACATTTACTGGTTAACTGCAGAATTATGAGTAGTTTGAAGAAGAAAAAAAGAATTGTAAAAAGCTATTTATATTTTCATTGAATTGCTTTTTGAAGAATGATCCTGGATTAATTATAGCATTATAAAAGATGCTATAATTTTAAACACCCTTTTCTGTATTCAGTAACATGTAGCATTAAATTTACAAGGCTCTTTCATGAATTACAAATCTGACACAATGAAAATGTTCTAATTTTTGATAGGCTGGTGGTGAAGTGCTTGCGCAATTTCACACCTCATTGAGTTAGCAGAAGAAAGCCTAAAATTTATTCATCCAGAGCTTCCTTCAAATGTCTCTAGAGTGTTTCCTGATAGGTGCCATATTTTAAGGATGGGGCCATGTGATTTAATAGAAAAACATCAGCTTTGGCAAAAGGCAAGCTTGGACTTGAACACTTCTTAGTTGTGTGACCTAGGACAGGCTGCTTATTCTTTTCTAGTCTTATATTTTCTCATCCACAAAAACAAGGATGGTAACATTTTGCAATGATGATTAAGAATTAAAATGATAACTGTTCCTAGTCTTGTATCTAATTCAAAAGTAAAAACTGCACTGAGAAAATATTTCCACATTCTCATTTCAGTTACAATAAATTAAATAATTCATTAAGCATAATTTTTTTCAAATGAAACATTTCTTAAACTGACCGCCTTTTTAAGCTAGGCACAGGAAAATAGTGAAAACAATGTCTGTTCTGTCAGACAGCCTTTCACGTAACCATTTAAAACTCAGCATAGGCACTTAGAAGATCATGTGCTTTTTTAGGAGTCCCTGCGGAATTGCTACTAGTCACCAAACACTTGGAGACATAAGCAAAACAAGCCACCCATGAATTTAACCACATTATATTTTTTTATGAAGGGACTGGAAATTTTATTCTGTAGCAGTATTTAGGCCATTTCTGCCTTACCAATTTGTTTAAAAAATAAAGAATAAATAAGCTTTCCAAATGATTAGTAAAGATTCTTTCATGAGAATGTTTTATGAAAAGTTTTTCTTTTAAGATTCAAATGCTCTTTCTACTTTTAAATGTATATTAAGAAAACTAATTGATTTAAATAGTATTTAAGGAAAATCAATCATACCTACACACACACTCACATCTGGATTGAAATTATTTTCCCTGTACCTTCTGAATACAAACTTGCCTTTCAATTGAGGCCAACTAAAGAAACTTCAGTTTTAAGGAATTCTTACATAAGAGTTCTAAACTATTGTACATAGTGATTGCATTCTTATATAATTTGAAACTCGAATTTAAGGTATGCTTATTAGGAATTAAATTTTGTGACATATTTGCAAATAAATGCCAAAATATTTACTTGCGTATCTGTATTATATATTGCCAAGAAGATAATAGCATCATTAGAGTAATTTAAATAATTCTGAAGTGAAATAGGGCAAATTTTCTCACAGTGCAAGTTAAAATAGAATTCTAAAGTCAAAATATAAAGGACAATTAAAGTCTGTGTTCTCCAACAAAAATATCTTACAAGATTGTCATCAATGCTTATCCTCAACTCTCCTGGCCCCATTTTGCCCTCTCTTGAATCCCAAATCTTGGCAAGGCTTTCAATGGCTAACAGGCATGCTTAATTGCCAAAGATTTATTGAGTGCTTAGTACCAACTTGGCCCCTGTTTTTTTTTTTTTTAGAAATTACCATATAAAATATATTTAAGCCACTAATATGTATCACACAAATGCATGCATGACCCATAAAATAACTGTCAAATGAAAACCTTTTATATCCTGCAAACTCAGATTTCATCTAATTGCAGTTGAAGGATAAGGCACATAGAAATTAATTCTTTCTATAGAGGTCCTTGAAAATCCTGAAAAACAAAATTTTTAAATATTGTTTTGAATTAAATTTAATCTAATATTTCAAAATTTTTACTAAGAGCAAATACTCTATTGTTTTCTTTTTACTACTTTATTTCATTTAACTACAAGAAAGAAGAAAGAACAGGTCAGAAATCAGAAATTTCAGTTGAGTGCTATTTATAAAGATTAAAAGAAAATTGGGCCATTTTTTCTTTTCCTGATTCTCATTTGAGGGTTGCTTTGCTTTTCAGTGTAGTTAGGGAAAAGGAAAATAACATAAATATTTCATTACAGAGAGGATAGGAGGAAATCAAATGTAATATATAAATACAAAACAGAAATAAAATAATGAGAAGCCAGTGAGAGGAACATACGTATGAATGAGAAGCCAGTGAGAGAAACAAATGAAAATGTGAGATTTTGGAATGTTGCCCT